GATCACACGGTTGATTCACAGTTTTACCTCGGGCAACAGAGTAGCAACAGCGAAAGGGTTCGCTCTCTGGAGCAGGGAGCTGCTGTACACCCCAAGGTTGGACGGCGGTATCGGAGTCAGGGACCCGGAGATTCTTATCACCTGTCTAGCGGCAAGGAGAGTTGGGCTTTTCATCACGGAGAGAAATCCACTCAAAAGGGATCTCATGGAATGGGCGGCAAAGCTCCCGCTGGGGGTGGACTCTTTCACTGCACACGTGAAGCTGCTAAAACACTGGGGAAGCGGCAGTACTCGCTGGAAGCAGACAGTGGAAAGTTTTATGCGCTCCCCCTTCTCTGTCAAGAACCTGGTGGGGAGCAGGGAAGAAGTCCTAGCGGAGAGACTGGTTTTCAACGCGTCGGTTCTCCTCAACGGTACCACAAATCCGTTGGGAGGCCAAAAGGATGCTCAGGGGCTGTCAGAGCTAAGGATTGGTGATCTGCTGGAAGGGGAGGAAGACGGCGTAGCGGTAGTTAAATCCATGGAGCTGCTGAAGCAAGAACTGGGAGGGAGCGGGCCTGCGAAGCTGGCGATGAGGGCGCTGCTTGCCATCCCGTCTCACTGGCAAAGACTGCTCGGCTTCCCAACGGTACCCCCGTGCTCGGCTGGCTCTTCCACGCGGATACCAATTCTAGAGGGGGAGCGGGTGATTACCATGAGGCGGATGAAGGAGGGCTGGAAGGGGACTTACAGCCAGTCATACAAGCAGCAGAAGTGGGGCGTACGCTGGGGGAACCACATTGACTGGAAGAGGGTGGTGTCATCCAGAGACTCTCTGGCTGTTCCCAGCCGTCCGCGTGATGTGTTGATACGAATCCACGGTCTTAATTTACAGGTGGGGGAGAGGTTGGCTTTCCTCAGCAGCAAGCCATCCTGTCCGCACTGTGGGGAGCAAGAAACCCTGGAGCATTGCCTCATTCTTTGCCCCAGGATACAAGTGGTGTCCTCGGCCCTCCGACGTGCCCTGCGCATGCTGAACCCCAACCGGCCTACAGCCTCGCTGGGCGACATGCTGTTCCGGAAAACGGGCACCAGATCAGCTTTTCCGGAGCTGACTCTTACGTCGGTGGTCCTACATCAGATCTGGTTGGAAAGATGCGAAGCTGTTTTTCGGGGGCAGAAGTTTCGGTTGCAAAGAGTTTTGTGGAGGGCGGAGTCTGCCTTCAGATTACACGCGAGGATCTACATGCGTAAGATGGGGGCAGCTCGGAAGAAAAGGGAGCAAGAAAATTTCGCGGAAGAGAAGCGAATGCTGAGCAGAATCAAGATGGATGGCAAAGGGTGGACGTGGACAAGTGCCTTCGCCGCGCTCTGGTCCAAGAAAAAGGTTGGCAACAACTCGCCTTAGATAACTTTCCTGGAACAGTAGTACGCTCTACTGTTGCCTCACGCACGGTTACGACCGTTCGATGGTGTATGCTTTTGTTTCAGTATATATCATCTTCCCAAAAAAAAAAAAAAAAAAAAGAAACGGAATTGGCTAGAGTGAAAAGCAATAGTATGAGTATGGATTTTGTTCGTACTTGCTTTGATTGAACAGGTTAAGTGGATTCTTCCTTCGTGCTTGCTACGACAACGCTGTCAGTATACAGAAGTTTGACAACGTTAAAGAAGGGACGCCTATTTCTGCAACCTAACTACCGCTGCAAGCAAGTCTCCCTTTAGACGTTCGGACCCTTGGATAGGTGTTGACCTTGGTCAAACACCCAGAGACCCGTGGAGGTGACCACGAAGAGAGTTGTGCAGCATTAGAAGGGCAATTAGTAGCTCAGCTAGTGCTTTCTAAGTGTAACAAGAAGTATCAAAGCTCGTATTACTGCGTTGTTGTTGCTATAACGTCATGGTTTTGAATAGAGTTGAAGAGTCCTCAAGCCAAAAAAGTAGCGGAGGTCAAGTAGTTGGGGGTTTGGTGCCTAGGATGGTGCAAACATAGTCAGGAATCTTTGCTAAAAGAGGTGCGAAGGAACTTCACCGTCGATAAGTTCAACGGCACCAACTATGATTATCGGGCGTGGAGTGGAAGATGCATTTATATTTTAGGCAAGCGGGATTGCTTAATTTGATGACGAGAAAGAAAGAGAGGCCGAGCGCTCCTGTTAAGCAAAAAGAATGGGATGAGAGGGCTACTATCCATTATCACAGAGCTTGGAGCTGAACCAACGGCCACCCATCATGCATCTGGAGGAAGAAGACAATGGGCCAAAATCGTGGGCTATTCTCAAGGATCTGCACGCCCCAACTTAGAATTAGAGCTTTCTTCATTGCAAGTAAATGAAGGGGAGCTGTTGCGGGCTGTGCTTGACAAAATGCGGGACACATACGCGAAGCTGGCGATGATTGGCATCGTATACCTTGAACAGACGAAATGTCTTAAGATGTTACCTTTTTCGCTAAGGTCATGGTTGTTGTTCACGAACGGATTGAGTCTTCCTCAAAATCATGGACCCTTGAATGGGTGAGAAGCAAGATTTTGGAGGAGGAATATCGAAGACGCCAATTGAGAAGTGCAACCGACGGGGAGATAGTGCGCTTGACTATGGAAGCTATATCAAAAGACCTACAAAAAGTGAGTACAGAAGCAACTTTGGCGGTTTTTTAGGAAATTGTTGTATTGCCAGGAGTTGGGGCACACATGGTTGCATTGTCATTAATGACCAGACTGGTGGGACCTAAGCTTCTTGAAGGAAGAAGGGCCAGAAGCGCTGTTCAAAATGGATCAATATGAAAGAAGGTGAGTAGGGCAGCAGCGAGAGAAAAACCTTGGGCAATAACTGCAAAAAAGGAAGCCGGTTGGCACACGTGGATTCTGGATAATGAGCAACTTGGTCAGTGACACCATGTGCGAAGCTGCTAGAATGCATTGGCGCAGCACCCATCTCGGAAGTTTAATACGAATCTGGACACGCAATGAGAGTGATGGGTGCAGGAAGGGCTGCATTTCTGGGAGCTGATGGGAAGCCGGTCATGACTGAGAGGGTGTTCATTGTACCGGATATGATAGCCAATTTGATATCGCTAAGGAAGTTGGTTATTGTCGGAGTGCTTTAGGAGCTGCACGACGCGTGGGCCCTGGATAATGAGCTGTGGCGAGTACCTGATGTGTCATGGCGTGAAGTTGCAACACAAAGAAATGAGGAGGAATGTACTATTAAGGGAGAGCCAGGTTCAATCGATGGGGAAGCAATAAAGGAGTTTGACTGGTGAAGTTGCTGCAATGTTTGGAGTGCCAATGTTTGTCAAAGCTTCGAGGGAGCTAGAGTAGTGTGCGGGTATGCAGCTCGAGAGTATGAGCAGAGCAATGTTTCGGTTTGATCAATGCCAAATATGAGGTCATGTATATGTACATATGTGTGTATATATGTGTGTGTGTATATATGTGTGTGTATGTATGTGTGTATGTGTATGTATGTGTGTATATGTATACATATATATATATATATATCTCTTTTCCTACCTGAAACTTCTATTCGTGCCTTCTTGGTCGCACAGGTTTTGGCGTCCAAATTTTACCACAAACAAAACGAACGGTCAAACATGGTAGTGATCGGCGCGCCGCAACTGGTCTAGTCGAGCGAATTGAACATCTTCAAGAGTGTTCAGGTCAAACAATTCTGAACCAAACAAAAACCCTGTCCGGTTCGACCCACACCTTTTCGAACCAAACAGTGTTTCGGCTATATGTTCATGCCTGGGTGCTGCATGTCACGTGCGCATCACTGCTGACTTTCCTCCGCTGCCCCTGCTGCATGCCCGCTCGTTTCCTCTCTGCTGTCAGCATTGCTTTTTCACTCCTCGTTCCTCCCTGCTGCTGTACTTAAAGAATCATACTTGTGCTCCCAAACCCCAATACTCACAACTGGCACTAGGGTTGAGCACGGGCCGGGCCGGGCCGGGCCCGGGTCGGGCCAGGCCGGGCCAGGCAAAAATCCGGGCCGGGCCTGGCCCGGCCCGACCCGGGCCGAATGACCAAGACCCTGGCCCGAGCCCGCCCATTTTGTACTCGGGCCAGGGTAGCCCGACCCGGGCCAAGCAAGGCCCGACCCGGACCGGGCCCGGCCCGGCCCGGGTGCACTTCCGATATAGTCACACATGATTTTCGAAAACGGAATGCCTTAAATCTTAACTGATCTAAGCTAAAACGCACTATTTCGCCACCCTTTCATATAACCGTTACTTTAAAACGGTTAACTAACACTAAGTTAAGAAAACAGGCTAGGTGAGATCTAAATACATGGCGAGAAGCTAGGGGTAAGCTTGCGTTAGATCTTGCGCAAAGTTTCGCGCAGCTCAAATTTGACCCCCGCGACATTTGCTGGGAGGGTCAAATCCCCGCGTGATTGAGATTTGACGAAATTGACTCAAATCTCAAATTATGCCAGCAAAATACAACAGAAACCGGATTTCACCGCACTGAATCTAGAATTTCCAACCAGTCCATCAAATTCCAACCCAGGTCGACTAGATCTGGCCGCATTTATTGGCCTGAGATCTAGTCGACAGGGTATCAACTCATAGGGTCTACTCGACCAGCACATTATTAGCTTAAAAGTAGAGTTCACTAAGCGAATTGCCGGGGGGGGAATAGGCGGGCCAGAACAGCCCGAACCGGGCCGCGCTTCGACACGGGCCGGGCTGGCCCGGCCCGAAATTGGCGGGCCAAAGTCGGGCCGCCGACGGCCCGCCGGGCAGGGCCGGCCCGGCCCGCTACGGGCCGAAACCCAAAATCTGATGCCCGGCCCGGGGCAATTCCGGGCCGGCCCGACCCGGGCCGTGCCCAGCCCAGATTTTTGCTCATCCCTAACTGGCACTACACAATCTCAACCTACAATGTCAGTCAATGCTCTGCAGCATTTGCTAAAGCCCGCCAAACGGATAGTCCTCAATCTTAGCCACTGTAAGCAAACCAGATTTAGAGGCTCTCGTCTCATCACGCCACTCCCAACTTACTCAACCCCACACAGGGATCTCAGCTCCAACTCTTTTGATGGCCCCATTCCCGACAGCATCTCCGTACTCATAGCACTCCAATATCTGTAAGAGGTGCATTGTGTTTGTTCCACCTATGTGGTGCTCCGTCCGCTGATTGTTGCATGCCATGTGCACATCACTGCTGGCACTCCTCCGCTGCCCATGCACTCTGCATGTCCCCCTCTGGTTTCTGCATCGCTTCTCCCAACTGCCGCTAGACAATCTTAGCCTTTAAAAACAAATCCTATACATTCGCCTTTCCCTAGCCCTTCTGAATTGATCATGCCTTCTAAGTTTCAGCCACCCTCTGTCGACAGAGATTTGTGCATTTCGTCGCATTCCCCCAACTCTGTCAACCCCACACAGGGATATCAGCTCGAACCCTCTCAATGGTCTCATTCCCGACAGCATTTCTGCGCTCACGGCACTTGCATGGCTGTAAGAGGGACACTGGGTTTGCTCCTCCACCCGCGTGCTGCTCTGTCCAATGGGTGCTGCACTATATGGGAATATACGCGTCCAGCGTCCAATACACCAGCGTTCAGATGCTAGCGTATATATGCTGGAGGCTCGGGTCTTGACCCCTGGACATTGAATATACGCTTGGTCCGGGCATGGCAGAAAATATTCCCTGAATCGTGAGCAAGTAAGCTAGGCGTGACCAAACTATCGACTAACTCTGGTCGCGCAACGTCCAAGAGCTAGTTGACTTGTTTTACGTTTGTGAGGATAGGTTGCATTTGGGAGATTCAGTGTGGTGAATTGTGGTACTACAAACAAAAAACGCATAGTTGTAGTTTCTCAGATCTGGTTTCACTTCGAGAACGAACCAGATCTAGGCATGATCAATAGGCCCGACCCGACCCGACCCGACCCGACTTGGGCGGGCCAGCCGGGTTCCGGTTCGGGTCGGGTCGGGTCGGACCTTTCAAGATCTCTGGCCCGACCCGGGTATCGGGTGCCGGGTGCGTGACCCGCCCCCCGGTCGGGTCAGGTAGGGGCCGGGTCGGGTCGGGTCAGGCCAGACCCCCATATACACTGTTAGAGGTTCTCCTTAGAACCTCAGAATGGATGGCGCGAAGTGCGAATAACTTATACAAATGATTGGCTTACTAACTAAACATTATCGTAGGTTATACGGTAGATTAGTATGCCAATGTTGCTTGGTGGGTGGCTGCTGGCGTCACTAGCTAGTTAACTAAACTTAAACCAAATTGAAATGCTAGTCGCGGGGAAACAAAACAAACGCGATTGCGATCTGGATAAGTTTGTCGAGAGGAAACCCTCGGGTCGGGCCAGATACCCGACCCGACATAGGGCGCAGTACTTGAAACCGGGTCGAGTCCATAATCGGGTCGAAACCCGACCCGACCCGACCCGACCCGACCCGACATCGGGTCTCGAGTCGACCCGACCCGCCCGGGTATACCCGACCCGACCCGCCCGGGTCAGCGGTTCAGAACACCTGACCCGACCCGGGTCAAAACCCGGGTCGGGTCGACCCGGCCCGCCGGGGCACCCTGCTCATGCCTAACCAGATCTACTTCGAAATTACATTCACGGAAAATTGTGAATTGCGATTTTGTCACGTCGATATTTTTTTCTTCGGTTGCCCAAAAAAATATCGATCGAGTGTCCAGCATACAGACGCTAGTGTATATACGCTGGACGCTCGCTGTTCAGAGCTTATATTCCCACATAGGTGCTGCATGCCATGTGTGCGTTACTGCTAGCACTCCTCCACGCCCATGCAATCTGCATGCCCAATCTCCGCACCTTTGTTGTCTCTGTGCTCCTCCAGCTGCTGTGCTTCATGAAACTCAGGCCTTCGCTGCTTTGGCAAATCTTACAGTAGACATGAGCATCGAGTTGAGTGTTTTACTCCACTCGTTTCCGTTACTCGTTTTGGGCGAGTAACGAGTCGACTGTGTCCAAGAAATTACTTGGTTTGACGAATCGAGTAATATTCGTTTTTGAATCGATTACTCGCAATTGCTTCGAAAGCGAGTAACAAGTAATAACATTAATCGCAAGTAGAAACGAGTATTTGCGAGTAAACGAGTACTTGCGAGTAAACGAGTATTTGCGAGTAAACGGGTACTGGCGAGTAAACGAGTAAACTTGGTGGGGCGGTTGGCAATGGGACTTGGACGAGTAACGACTCGATTCCTTTTCAGAACAAATTGGCTGAAAACGAGCCGAGTATTACTCGACTCGGCCTTTGCTCATGCCTATCTCCCAGTTTCCAAAATGCGATCTCAACCTCTACAATCCCAACCGGTACTTTGCATTCGCTTGGCTTTCTCTTGCCATTTTCTGATCCTCTAGGCTCCTGCCACCCTCTGTGGACAAGAGTTTGAATCTCTCATCTAATCAACCCACACAGAAATCTCAACTCTGACTTTCTCACGGGCTCCATTCCAGATAGCATCTCTGCGCTCACGGAACTCATATACCTGTAAGAGGCACACTGTGTTTGCTCCACCTTCGTGCTACTCTGTCCACTGGGTGCTGCATGCCATGTGCGCATCACTGCTGACACTCCTCCACTGTCCATGCTCTCTTTCCTCCCCCTCTGCTGTCTGCATCCCATTTCCACTCCATGTTCCTCCCCGTTGATGTACTTCAAATTCATACTTCGATTCGCAAATTCCAAAACACTAAATCCTCGTGCTTATTGCTTCGACAGATCTTGCAACTGTCACTACACAATCGCAACCTTCACAATCTCAGTAAATCCTCTGCGTCTTCTTGCCTTGCTATAGCCCTCCTGACCTAATAAGTACTAAGTTGCAGCCACCCTCAGCAAACGGGGATTGAACCTCTTGTTGTTTAAATCACTCACCCGCACACAGGGATCTTGGCACTCATAACGCGCTCAGCAATTCCATTCCCGACAGCATCTCTGCACTCAAGTCACTCGAATATCTGTAAGAGGCAGACTGGGTTTGCTCCACCTGCGTGCTGCTCCGTCCACTGGGTGCATGCCATGCGCGCATCACTGCTGGCACTCCACCCTTGCCCATGCACTCGGAGCTCCCACTTGCAACGTATAGGTTATGACTACTAATTATCATGAGAACAGTATTACGAAAATCACATGGACAACACTGCATAACCACATGCAAGGAATGGGGTTGGGGGAGGGGGGTGGGGTGGTGGCGGGGGCGGGGTGGCAGGGTAATAGAGTGAAGCTGTCAAAGAAAGGCATGCAAGTAATGTATCCTTCAGGGCGCGTGTCCTTGAGGCTGAACTTTTGCCAAAGTTCGAACTTCTAGAGAGGCTGTACACGGTAGGATACAGTTGAGAGATGTGCCGCCACGTACAAAGGAGTATTTGGCTCAAACTTTCACAATCTACACCAAAAGACACGCACCCTTAGGCAAAACAAAAGGTCAGATCCCTTCGTCCTCGCCCTCCACACATAGCTCATGCAAAACCACCATCGCCCCAGGGCCCATGAGCATCCGGACACGGTTCAGCGCCATCCACGTCTTGATTTATGGCCGCGCGCTGCTCTTTGCATTTCCGTGCACTGCTCTTTGCTAAGTGGCAAAAGGCGCTAGGCGCGTCATGCGTCCTGCGTCTGGACGCAGCGTCCGACGCAGGGACGCTGGACGCGCGTCCAGACGCAGGACGCACAGCATTTTTTTTTGGGCTGACCGATTTTTTTTTTTCCCTGATCGCGAAGTTGACATTCGCGATTTCGACGCAAATGTCAATGTCGCGAAAATTCGACCCCCCAGACCCATTTCGACCATCAAAAACAGCCCACGCACAACATTTGTAACCCCCCATCACCAAAATTGTAAACCCAACCCCTCACAACCCAACTTCATCTATAAAACTAAACCTTGGTGGACCACCACTAAGCCGATTAGAAGCTCAAACTCTTCATTTGTGCTCCATCTCATTATATGAACGCAATTCTCCTTCGTAAACCCTTGAGGGTTTATGTACATTTCGCTCCATTGTGCTACCTTTTGCTCCATAGCTATCGTTTTGCCTCACATGTGTGATACGTCGTCCTCCCCCCCCTTCCTGTGCCCTATAACGTGTTTTTTTTGCTGCCCGGGGGGTTTTTTCGCCCTGCCCGGGCCTGTGTCTTTTGCTGCGTCTTTAAGGCCCACATCATGCGTCCTGCGTCTAAGACGCTGCGTCTGGACGCACCCGTCTTAGACCCAGGACGCGTCTTTTGCCACTAAGGCTCATTGCAGGTTTTCGTGCGCGCTGCTATCTGCAGCCGCGAGCAAACTGCGGGTTTTCCGCGTGCAGTCCTCTCTGCAGCCGCATGTGCGCGCTGGTCTACGCAGTTGCGTGCAGCTGCTGATGCACCGGGATAAAGCGGGCCCTGGCTGATTTAGGACGGAATGCGTTGATCTAGGCATTCACTTAAATTTTTTGTCTAAGATTCTGATTAACCGTAGCAGAAGTAGTAAGGCTTAGGTATAAGACTAGATCTGGTTAGTCGCAACTAGATCTGAAGTTGGGGGTTTGAAATGACCTAAAATGTGGAGTGACATTTGCGGGTCCCATTCCAGCCGCTAACGGGTCGGGATCAACCCGGCCCGTTTGTTCGTTAACGACCCATATACAGAACGGGTCGTGCCCCTACGGGTCACACGGGGCGACCTGTCCCATTCGAATGAGTGTAAAACAAGTCGCGGGTCGACCTGTCTTTGACTGGTCGGCATGTCTTGACAATCCGACCCGCCCTGCCAAAAAAGGCGAGTATAGGGATGAGCAAGGGGCGAACACGAACGTGTTCGCGTTCGCCCATGCACGAACACCCCTGTTCGGCGAACCGAACACTGTTCGGTTCGGCGAACACCTTAAGCAAAAACAGGTGTTCGCCGTTCGCCTATGAAGGCGTGTTCGGGCGAACCTCGAACACTGTTCGTGTTCGTTGCGGGCAAATTGCAGCAGCGGCCCGAACACGAACGTGTTCGGGCGAACCTCGAACACTGTTCGGCGAACGATTTAAGCCAAAAAAATGAACCTGTTCGGTTCGCCTCGAACACGTTCGAGGCGAACCGAACAGGTGTTCGTTTTTTTGCTCATCACTAGGCGAGTATTTGTGTCTAGCTAAGATTTCCATCAAAATAGCAAGTGTCTAGCTAAAAATTTGTGTCTCGCCCCCCCCGCCACTTTTTTTTTCCAGGTGTCTGAGGCTGACGCTGTGTCCAGCGTCCATCATCCGCGCGTGAGCTTCTAATCCAACTTGGCTGCTGCAGTCAGGGATTTGTGCCTTCCGTCTCATCACTCCCAACACAGGGATCTCAGCGTTAACGCTTTCGATGGCTCCATTCCGAAAAACATCTCCGTGCTCACGGCACTCACATGGCTGTAAGGCACTCCTGCGTTTTCTCCACCTGCGTGCTACTCCGTCCACTGGGTGCTGCATGCCATGTGCGCATTACTGCTGGCACTCCTCCACTGCCCATGCTCTCTGCGTGCCCTTTCCTCACCTCCTCTGCTGTCTGCATCCCTGTGGCACTCCTTGTTCCTCCCTGCTGCACTGACCTGTCACCTACTTGCTGTATTTCATTTAGATTGAATCCACGTATTCATTGCTTCGGCAGAAGTCTGCCACTAAACAATCTCAGTCAGTCCTCTACAATCTCAGTCAGTCCTCTACAATCTCAGTCAGTCCTCTACATTTGCATGCTTTGATCCAGCCCTAACTTGTCAATCCTTCCAGCCACCCTCTGGACAGGGATTTGAGTGTCCTGTCTCATCACCCGAACTCACTCAACCCCACACAGACAACTCAACGGTAACTACCTCAGTGGCTCCATTCCCAACAGCATCTCCGCACTCAACTCACTCGCATACCTGTAAGCGGCACACTGGGTTTGCTCCACTGGCTGCATGCCATGTGCGGATTACTGCTGGCACTCCTCCACTGCCCATGCTCTCTGCGTGCCCTTTCCTCACCTCCTCTGCTGTCTGCATCCCTGTGGCACTCCTTGTTCCTCCCTGCTGCACTGACCTGTCACCTACTTGCTGTATTTCATTTAGATTGAATCCACGTATTCATTGCTTCGGCAGAAGTCTGCCACTAAACAATCTCAGTCAGTCCTCTACAATCTCAGTCAGTCCTCTACAATCTCAGTCAGTCCTTCAGTCCTCTACGTTTGCATGCTTTGATCCAGCCCTAACTTGTCAATCCTTCCAGCCACCCTCTGGACAGGGATTTGAGTGTCTTGTCTCATCACCCGAACTCACTCAACCCCACACAGACAACTCAACGGTAACTCCCTCAGTGGCTCCATTCCCAACAGCATCTCCGCACTCAACTCACTCGCATACCTGTAAGCGGCACACTGGGTTTGCTCCACTGGCTGCATGCCATGTGCGGATTACTGCTGGCACTCCTCCACTGCCCATGCTCTCTGCGTGCCCTTTCCTCACCTCCTCTGCTGTCTGCATCCCTGTGGCACTCCTTGTTCCTCCCTGCTGCACTGACCTGTCACCTACTTGCTGTATTTCATTTAGATTGAATCCACGTATTCATTGCTTCGGCAGAAGTCTGCCACTAAACAATCTCAGTCAGTCCTCTACAATCTCAGTCAGTCCTCTACAATCTCAGTCAGTCCTTCAGTCCTCTACGTTTGCATGCTTTGATCCAGCCCTAACTTGTCAATCCTTCCAGCCACCCTCTGGACAGGGATTTGAGTGTCTTGTCTCATCACCCGAACTCACTCAACCCCACACAGACAACTCAACGGTAACTCCCTCAGTGGCTCCATTCCCAACAGCATCTCCGCACTCAACTCACTCGCATACCTGTAAGCGGCACACTGGGTTTGCTCCACTGGCTGCATGCCATGTGCGTATTACTGCTGGCACTCCTCTACTGCCCAAGCTCTCTGCATGATCACACCTCCCCCTCTGCTGTCTGCATCCCTGTGTCACTCCGAGTTCCTCCCTGCTGGTGTACTTCAGATTCATTTCTTTGCTCCTTTAAGGAAACTCACAAGTTCCAATACACAATTTCAGCGTGTACAATATCAGTCAGTCCTCTGCATCTGTTTGCAACGGATAGATTCTTCCAAGTTCCAGCCACCATCTGTGCACCTATGTTACATCTGACGCCCACCTGGTGCAGCGTCCAGCATCCGGACATTAGCGTCCAGAATCGCAAAGAAATCACCAACTGTGGGTTGCGCTTTTGGGCTACGAAAACACATCCCACATCCAATCCCCTTTAACACATTTTCACCCTTCCATACCTAGTTTTGCGGTTTACCAACCTGGACGACCCCAATCTAAACCAGAAAAGCAGATTGAGGTCGACATTACTCACTTCTCAATCCCTTCACATTCCCTAGCAATCTCAACACTAGAATTCGCCAGTCGTGCTAGTTAATCTTCGTATTTTAGTTTAAGTTAAGCCGATTGGGTTAGAATGTCGCCTACTAGTCCTGCGGATCAATCAGGTGGTGTGGGGCATGAGCGCAAGTATGATGAAATGCCTAGTCATCCCGTTTACATGCGTCATCTTTTTTTCTTCAAGGACCCACGAGAGGCAGAATAGCGCAATGCCGTTTTTTTTCCCTGCACGATATTTTTTTTTGCCCTCCAACCAAGCGCCCGGACGCTAGCGTAAAGAACGCCTGACGCGTCATATGGAACATAGCTGTGGGCAGGCAGGGATTTGTGGCTCTTGTCTCATGAGGCCCAACCTCTCTCCGACCACAGGAATCTTGCCTGTAACAATCTCAACGGCTCCATTCCTGACAGCATCTCTGCGCTCACGGCACTCACATACCTGTAAGAGGCACACTGTGTTTGCTCCACCTGCGTGCTACTCTGTCCACTGGGTGCTGCATGCCATGTGCGCATAACTGCTGGCTCCACTGCCCATGCACTCTGCACGCCCACTCCTTCCCCCATTGCTCCGCCCACGGCATCGTTTCGCCACTCCTTCGTTACTCGCTGCTGCACTGCACCAACCTTCTGGGTGACATGCATTTGTTTCTTTCCTTTCCTGTGGACTCACTCCACATCGCATTTTGGATGTTTGGAACTGATCGTGCATTTGCGGACAGAAATTTGCAATCGAATCAACTTACCGGCGTTATTCCATCCACACTTGGGAGTCTGTCTAATTTGGAAAATCTGTAAGCTGGGCAGCCTTGGTTCATGCCATGTGCAAATCACTTCTGGCTGGCACCATTGCACATGTGCTTGCCCATGCACTCTGCTTGCGTACGTCTCGCGCCCTCTGCATTACGCATACGTTTGTCTCACTCACAATGTTGTAGTTTGGGGATGGCAATGACGAAATTAGGGACTCTCGCGAAATATTCTAACTTGACGAGTCTGTGGATTGAGAGAGTGCGACGGATTGGGCTGGTGTAATTCGCTAGAGATTGGGTTCTCTAGTCTGGACGTGAGCAAATGGTCGAACACCTGTTTGGTTCGAATTCGACCCACAAACATGTTCGGGTTGAGCCAAACATCTGCTGTTCTTTCGCTGTCAGTGTTCTGGCCGAACATGTTCGTGTTCGACGAGCAAATGTGTTTTCACGATGTACAACCATCAACCATCGATTTAATAGTGGTTTGTATTCCCACAACAACCTCAAACCATTCAGGGAGAAAGGCCCTCAAGCAAGGATGAAAAATACGGTTTCCGTAAAATACGGTCCGTATTTTACGATCGTATTTTACGGTCAGATTTCAAAAATTCGACCGTATTTTTGTTGGAGTTTTTTTTACTGTTAGAAAAAACGGACGGATCTATGCCTAAAAAACTGCTCCCCTGTGCTCCTCAAGACAATAGGCGTGCGTCCCGCCTTGTGCGGCTAGAATATTATTTGAAAAGCGATTAAAAACGTTTTGGCGAGGGAAAAAAATACTCGCGAGTTTTAAACTCGTTGCATTCTTGACCCCTGCGCGACGTGGCAGCGGGGGTTCATAATCGCATAGGCGAACTCGTCAATTCATGTTTCTACATGACGAAATGTCAGCAAGCTCAAACACGGAACATTTGCATCCCAATTTCTCCAACTCATGCACTCCCCCCAACCGCTCTAAATCCCACTGCCTCTACCTAACCCAACCCAACCTTTCAAACATTTGTACCCTGAGACTGGGTGAGATCTAGATCTCACTCGTACCTATGCTGCAGCGACACATTTCCCCATCGCATTAGCAACTGGAACATCGCGATTTCCTACTAATACTGTCCTAACTAATCCCCCTTTCCCCACTTTAAAAGAGAGGCGTCGCTCAAGGGGGTCCCCCTGCAATTTCTTTTTACACTTCACTGTTTAAAAATTTCGACCGTAAATTACGACCGTATTTTTTAACCAACCCTAAAACAGCACGATTTATCGTATTTTACCGTATAATACGACCGTAAAATACGATTCCGTATTTTACGGTAAATTTTCAAAAATACGACCGTAATTTTGAACCTTGCCCTCAAGTACATTGCGATATTCAGTATGGTTCGTTTGTAGTGTGACTACAACGAAAAGCACCACCTAGATGAACACGAACTTGTCTGCTTCAAGCATGTTTGTCTTTGAGGCAAACACGTAAGTGTTTGCCTACGAAGGCGAACACTCGAGCTCCTTCTTTTCCCGTGTTTGGGTCAAACCGAACATGTTTGGTTCGCCCACTAAACGTGTTCGATAACACGTTCGACCAAACGCGTTGTGTTCGGGTTTGCTCATCTCTACTCTATACACTAAGGCCGGTACATCAGGAACTAGTGTAGTGCGTACATAGGCTTCGTCGCCGTCGTTCGGACCGGAGTTGGAGCTTCCTTCCTACAGCAGTAAGCGTGTTTCTTATGTCACAGAAATGCCTACACCATGTTGGCTGGTAAAGTTGGCTGGCGAAGGCCTCTAAAATGCCATGTCAGTCCACAACAACAACCTACCCGCTTCGCCAAACCAAAATCTGTGAATCTAGGCACCAATCTGCACACACACTTCAATGTCAATCATCCCCATTGTCCGAGCTGTCAAGATTACGAGTTAAGCCCCACGGCCTAAGCTGCGATGCGTTGCAAATTCAACTGTATTCATCCTGGCGCGAAGGTTTGTGGATCGCAATTTTGCGAAAGGGCGATACGTTTTGCTTCGTCACCGAGGGGGTGGGGATGATTGACATTGAAGTGGTTTTCCATGGGGATGGGATTCACTCACCAATTCACCGTATTTCACCCCTTCTCATCTGGTTTTCCCACCACCAGCCAAATTCACCGACCCACAGCAAACCCACATTTCTCCTCGATCTACTACCAAAAGGCTTCCCATTTTCGTTCTCCACGCTTAGACAGAGAGTAGAAATTACCCGAGAATTCTAGTGTCAAGGCGGGCTTGGGAAGCGGCAGCGTGATCCTATGAATTAGCTAAGAAGGATTTGGAGCTTGAAAATGAGCTCCACTCTTAGTTTCTTATTTAAATTTTCAGACACATAGCCCGAGGAGCTCAGGCTTCCGTTTCAAACAGAATTAGATCCGGCCAAACAGGTTCGCCTTGAACCAAACAGTTAATTTTGACAACTCTATTTCCGTTCCAAGTGAACTGGTTTGTCTTAGACCGAACCTAGGTTCGGTTTGCCCATGCCTAGTTAACAGCTATGTGATGGTAATTCTATCTCTTGAGTGGTGCATGCAACCGCCCGCACATTAATGCAAAGTCGTATGGCGGTGTCACATGACAATGTCACATGCGTCTTCTCTCTTTTGTCAATCTGCCCGCTTCCACTGCACTGCAGCAACACTGATGGCAACAGCCTCACTTGTCCTGCTGCTGACAGCACCACGTGCGGCCAATCCCTATCGTCTGCCTTCTGCCGGAATTGCTCCAGCAGCTGTTCGACGTGCCAAGAACAAGCAGGTCAATGGGGACCTTATAGCTGTGCCTAGTTCACTTCAACCGCCACCGCTTGGACACGCTTGTGCTGTTGTAATGGCCAGCACATTCTCTCTGCTCTAAAGACATTCTTGTGTTGTGTTGTGTTGTGTTGTGCTCATGCAGCGGCATCTGGAGGTGGAGGTGGTGGAGGGGGTGTGTCAGTGGGAGCCATCATTGGCATTGCTGTTGCTGCCGTGGCCGTTCTCCTCCTGCTTGTGGCTGCCATGCTTCTCTACTTCAGGCACAAGAAGCAGCAAAGTTCAAGAGGTAGGAGCAGCAGCATTTTAGGGCCGAGACGTTTGTGCTGCATGTGCTCAGATGATCAGCTCTGCTGCCCACCTCCACACCTCCTCAACGCTCCTTCTTAACGTATTCCTCTTCCTTTTCTGAACGATAAGCACAAGGCAAGGCGAGGTGAGGGCTTTTTAATCACCACTACACCCTTCACCCCACCCCATGGCCAGGCCCAGGGCCTAGCCTGGCAGCGTCGCACTGCACGGAGTTCTCACTGGAGGAGGTGCTTCAGGCTACCAACGGGTGGTCGCAGGGCAACCTGCTTGGCTCTGGTGCCTTTGGTGATGTCTACAAGGGCGTCTCTCCCCGCGATGGCTCCACCCCCTGGGCTGTCAAGCGCGCCAAGCTCGTTGCCGTGGACTTCCAGAGGGAGGTGAGCAATGGTTGGTCTGCAGACTCAGTCCACTTGGGAATCAGTCATTTTCGTTCTCGACTATTTTCACAGAAGAAAGAAACTCGTCTTAGCTTAGCGCTATATGTTTTGGTCTGAAATGTTCAAAAAGAAGCAATGTTCTTCCTTCCCGGCTCAACCTGCTCTTTCTTTTACCGGCGTCTTCCTCGTATGTTCTGGTTCTCCAGGTCGTGCAAATGGCCGATAAGAACCATCCCAACATTGTGCGGTTGCTCGGGTTCGCAGTGGGAGGGGACGTCAGGTTTACGATCGAGCAAGTCCTGATTTATGAGTTCGTGCCCAACGGTGACCTTGACAAGTGGATAGGACCAAGTAAGTGTTGTTTCTTCTTGTCATTGTTATCGCATTTTCTTGAACGATTCCACTCATGGTTGGCCACTCATGCTGTCCGCCTGATGCTTGCTATGAATCTCAATCCATGGCTTGTTGCAGATGCACCCTCTCCTCTGACTCTGCAGCAGCGGCTGGACATTCTCATTGGTGCTGCACGTGGCTTTGAGTATCTCCACAGCTTCGACCTTGTGCATCGCGACATCAAACCCGCCAACATCCTCATTACCACTGACATGCAGGCAAGCACAGTTGCAGAAGGATGCACGGCAAAATAGCATGATTTTGTCAGGAAGCAATCAGTACCATAACTATAAGTTTCACAAGTATCCCTCAAAGGGCCATACAGGTAGAGATTGTCTCTTCGAGCTTTTTTGAATCCATTTCTGGAGTCCCACATCTACCTCTGTATGTATGCCAAATGCTATGCTCTTGCACCTTTCATCCTCCATCTCCTGTTCCCTTGTCCGTGCTGCATTCATGCCGCCATTTCATCCTACCACCCATCAGCCCAAGATTGCAGACTTTGGGCTGGTGAGGGCGGGAGAGGGCACGACAGTGGGCACGACTCGAATCATGGGAACACCGGGCTATGTGGATCCGGTCTACTCCAGAACGTCCAAGGCCACTGCAGCCAGTGATGTCTACAGGTGATTCAAGATTCATATCACGATCGTGCCATGCCAGCCAAAAAAAAAAAAAGTTTTTAGAGCGAGCGTATACATTTGCCATGACGATGGCTTTGGAAAGGAGGAACACTCACTACAGGTTCCAGCTTTTTGTCGACCCTCGTCTTACCATTCTGCCCTCGCACTACTTTAGCCAAACCTCGGAATTTCATATAGTCTGCAAAAGTTGTATGCTCGCTTTAGATGCTAAATCTGCATGGGTTTGTGCAGTAAGCATTTGAGCCTTTTAGACATGGAACAGCTGCTCCAACCTGGATAGTTCGATTGCATATGTTAGCATATGGATAACCATCATCCTTCTATTGCATATGTTAGCTCTCCCGCTCTTCTGAGATATTGAGCCAGCTTCGTGTTGCTCTCCGTGTCTCTCGCTCGTTGCAGCTTTGGTGTGCTCATGCTTGTGGTGCTCACTGGACGCCCTCCAGCCTCCGAGGATGATGGGGAGTCCAAGCAGATCACGCTATGGGTGAGTTCCCGTAAACAGATTAGTGCATGTTGCCGATTGTTTTCTCTCAATCAAAGCAGAAGTAACTGCTTCAATTGCTGACTGATTTGCACTCGAATCACTTTCACACTTTCTGCAATTTTCACTGTATCAGGCATCGCAGTGCTTGTCATCAAATGACATAGAGAGCCTCAGGGACCCGCGCATGGACGCTCCTGAAGATGCGGTGGTGCGTGTGGCTGAGCTGGCAGTGAGCTGCACCGTGGAGCGCACTGCAAGCCGCCCAAGCATGGCGCTCATTGCCAACGAGCTGCAGGCTGTGAGGGAGGAGGTGGCGGGGAAAAAGGAGCTCTGCGCCGCTATCAAGGTGGACGCGCAGGTTCAGGAGATGAAGGATGCTGTTGTGGGTGTGGAAAGTCTGGAGACGCAGCTTAGAATGATTGGGGATAGCCCTCTGGGTAAGATATGTGTCCCTCTTTCGCACAAGGCCAATGAATAGGACCGTATTACCTACCCCGGATAGTCGCTCATTGGGGCTTATAGCTTTTTGGCCTTTTCTTAGATTAGGGTTTGCATTGTAATAAACAGTAGGAGAAAGTTATACTCGTGTAACAAGTTTGTGTCAGAATAAGGGTACATTCCGCTGTGGACATGCGTCCCAATCGATGTGTCCCAATCGGGTGTACCGCTCCGAACCGCACTAAACCAGAGAAGCGAAAATTTTGAAACTAGGGTGTAATTCGGTGTAATAAGATGCAGTGCGGTAGAATCGATTGGGACACATCGATTGGGACACATCGATTGGGACGCATGTCCACAGCGGAATGTACCCTAATATATAACTTTATATATTGTTCTATAACTGCCTGTAGTGTAGAATACTGTAGTTATAGCCTTTCTAGTTGGTGGTGCACCATTCTTGCTTTTGCTTGCCTATTTGTACTGTTTGCTCTATAATGAACCACCTCTTTTGTTGGCCAACTTTCTCCTCTCGACACTTGCCTAGGCTGTTCCTAAACCTAAGTCCTAGGTAATCTCAACATGGTATCAGAGCTACTAGATCCTCGGGCCTAAGAAAATGTTTTTTCGCTCTCATGGCGAGCGCCTCGCTGGTCCGTTGCGCCACGCTTGCCTCGCCGCGCTCTCGCTGGCAAAATTTCGGCTTTCGGACCTGCTGCGACCCGAAGCGCCGGCCAGGGCTGACGCTATCAGACTAAATAGTCTGATTAGTCTGACCAATCAGGCTATTGTACTTATGAACATTGTACTTCCAGTGTAATCAATATTTCAACCCTGTGAGCCTCAGTCCCCGTTATTGTTTGTAGGCCCCTGATATAGTGTAGTAGGCATCAGACTTAGTCGTTTCTGGAGTCTGGCCCTACCGAGTATACGGTCTGTGGTCCCTGTGGGCGGGTGTATCGAGAGGAAGCTTCCCCGAAATTTCCCGAAAGACCCCCCCCCCCCCCCCCCCCCCTCCCACGCGTAATGATTACCCCACCCCCCGTGGTTGTCTTCATGTTCGCGTGGGCTGTAAACCACGCAATGCTGACAAAATCCGTTGGTGCGCTGTGTACAACAAGGCACACAGGCTCGGCGTTATGCTGCCAGCATGCCAAGTAACAGAATGATGTCTTGCCACGCGCACCGCGCCACCCTCAAAGATTGTGATGGGTGCAACGCAATTGGTGGAATGGCACAACAGCAATGTGTGGTGGCATGGCTGGGATGAATTTGGCCAAGAACTCGAAGCCCGATTCACGCTGCAACCCCCAGCTCACCTCGTGAGCTGTTTCCGTGGCGGCGCGGCTTTCGTTCTTTCTGCTGCAGCTGATTCTTTGGAGATGTAGGGGGTCTCTCACTTTCATGTTCACTTCTTGTTCCCAGTCTCGGTAGTTCTGTTTCTTCTCTTCCTCTCGCCATGGCTTCCCTTCCTGCCGCGGAGGACTCGCCTGAGACCGCCCCGGAGAAGCCTCCCGATCATAGGGTTAGCGGCCTAGATTTCCTTCGGCGTAGCGTAGCTCCGGTGACACCTGAACCTGTGGTTACCGCTGCAGTTGTTAATACCTACGCGAACCCCTCGTCCAACGGAGAGCCGCAGCCGGCCCCCAATCCCAAGCCTACTCCCGCGCCGTTTACTCTCCCTCCCGCGATCGCATCATCTAGCAAGGGTCCGCAACCGCCGGCCAACCCCGAGCCTTCCGATGCGCCGTTCACAGTTCCTCCCGCCATCGCGTCGTCCAGCAAGGGTCCGCAACCGCCGGCCAACCCCGAGCCTTCCCATCTCCGTTCATTTACTCACCCGCCATCGCATCGTCCAGTAAGGCGCCTCCCTCTGTAGTTGGTAGCAGCGGCTGCAATGATGCCGCTCCCGCGTCTGAGGGTCGTACGGCTAAGAAGGCGCGCACGCTTGTGTTCCGAGGCAAGCTCCAGCAGAGCACGTTGACTTTCGGCGGTGTGCGCGTCCCACCACCTAGTGCACCAGAGGAGGAGGAGGAACCCGAACCTGAGGAACCAGAGGAACCAGAGGACATACCTGTACGTGCGGACACCAAGTCCCCCATTCTGTCCAAGGCTGAGGTGATGGAGCAAGTGTCAAGTACAACGCTCAGTGGTTATCGAAATTCCCGTGGCTGCTGTTGGTTCGCGCTAAAGATGGTGGTCCTAGTGTGAAGTGCAGTGTGTGTCTGTCATTCGGCAAGGAGACAACGAAATACTCTGGTCCTGGTGACGGCGGCCGAGACCTGCAGACGCAGACGATGCGCATCCACGAGCACGCCACGGTTCACAAGGAGGCGATGCAGCGTCAGGCGGAGATTGCGGAGGCGATTTCAAACGGCCAGACGAAGATCGACCGCTTCATCAACGCCGACGTTGAGGGTCGGCGAGCGATTCGGCTGATGCGGTCTGTCCAGTTTCTCTGCCAGGAGGACGCGCCCATCAGCATGTTTCCCAAGCTGATGAGGCACCTCGCTGAGCAGGACACCCCCGATATCCCAAAGCAAGCCTACGGGGTGTACCTCACGCGGTAAGTAATGTTTGGTTACGGCTGTTGTTCATCAAGTTGCCTCCCACCTACGACTAACGTCTTGGCTTGTCAAAACCCCTTTGCAGATACGGCTTCCAGCAGATGGTGCACTGCCTCAGCACGTGGCTGACTCAGACGCAGATGCAGCACATCGCCTCTTCGCCCTTCCTCGGTTTGAGCACGGACGAGAGCACCGACCGGACTCGCGGGAAGCACATGATAGTTTACATCACGTTCATGCGCAACCGTCGTGTCGTCACCGAGTACCTGACCCTTCTTACCGTCGAGCGGTGTGATGCAGCTTCTCTCCTCTCGGTGCTCCTGAACCACTTGCACACTGCCAACATCGACCTCCACCGAGTGGTGGGCATCAGCACGGACGGCGCATCTGTAATGATTGGATGCGACAACGGGCTCGTGACAAGGCTGCGGGAACATGTGCCGCATCTTGTGTCTACTCACTGCATCGCCCACAGGTGAGGCCCACGTGTATGACCGCGTCATTTGTAGGTTGCATTTGTTCAGCATGCTGCCAGGTTCTCACTCTAACCATATTTATGTGGTCGGCAGGGAGGCACTGGCGGTGAAGGACGCGGCCGCGAAGAATCCAGACCTGGCGATGGTGGACACAGTCGTGCGGACGCTTGCTGAACGCCTTGGCGCCTCCAGCCACTGGAGCCAACGGTTCAAGTACCTGCAGCGCGTCATTTACAACACGAACCTGGAGGTCCAGGGAATCCACAGCGTGCGCTGGCTGTCCCGGGGCGACGCGGTGAAGCGACTGTGCAAGGTGCTGGGCGCGGCGATTATTCTCTTCCACGAGAAGGAGCACGACTTGTACGAGACAGTGACATCGTACAAGTTCCAGTTCTGTCTCTTCTTCCTCGCGGACATCCTCGGCGACCTCAACGATCTGAACAAGTCGTTTCAGAAGCGGCAGGTGAGCCAGCCTTCTTGAGGTGGTCCAGCTATACGGCTACACCTTATCTAATGTTCTCTGGTTGTTGTCGCAGGTCGATGTGACCGAGGTGGCCAAGACAGTCGAGTCCATCACGGGCGACCTCGAGCACAGGTACCTTGACAAGAAGGCGGACTTCGGTGGGTCTGGCAGCGGGTGGCTCCCGAAATTCCTGGGGCTGTATGGGAAGAAGTCGGGCCAGACCGTCAAAGTGCGAGGCGCGGACTTGGAGGGGCGCCCGGTCGACCACTCGTACATCCTGCACGAGAGGAAGCTGAAGGACCACAAGTACAAGAGCGGCTACAAGGCGTGCGTGAAGCTGTGCCGCAAGTTCGCGAAAGACGTCGTCGACCGACTGCTGTTTCGCCTGGACGATCTGCGGGGGATGGGTCCAACGAAGCTGTTTCGCGCGTCAAAATGGCCGAAGAGCAAGCACGCGCGAGACCGCAAGTGCCAGGACTGGCTGACAGGCTGCAGCGCCCTGTTCAAGAACAAGCTCCCTGGGTTTGATCTCAAGAAAGCCTCGCAGGAGCTGGCGACCTGGTGCCCAATCATGGAGGCGCACCACGAGGACGAGTCATTTGCGCAGGGACTGGCGAACTTCATGGGCAGCGGCGATGCCAAGAGGTAGGTTGACATTTTTGTTGCCACATGTGTATTTTGCAGACTAACGCATCTGCGAAATTGCACCCCCTCGTCTTGGCAGGCGATGGCCCAACCTGCTGCTGCTTTGGCAGGCTCTCGCAGTGCTGCCACTATCCACGGTGGAGTGCGAGCGGGGGTTCTCGCGCCAGAACGTGATCAAGTCGTGGATCCGCGGGTCACTCTGCAACGCGCGGCTCGGGGAGCTCATGCAGATCTCACTGCTGCAGTACGAGATGGACTGGCCTGGGGTGCTTGATACCTGGAAGAGCCTCAAGAAGAGGCGGCCCGCGCAGAGCGTCTTGTTTTCTTCAGAAGATCGGAAGCGCAAGGGAAAGGAGCCGGAGGAGGAGGAGGAGGAACCCATTGAGCCGGCGGCCGAGGAGTTCGCAGAGTCAGACGACGACCGTGACGACAACATGGAGATGGATCAGGAAATCGAGCAGTCGCCGCCCAGAGATTACTCGGAGGAAGAAGACAACCCCTTCCTTTCGGATGGCGAGGATGGAGGGGAGGAGGAGATGTATCAGACTGACAAGCCAACAGAGTAGGATTCCTAGAGCTGTGCTGTGCTGTGTATTGCAGAACCCGCCGGACAATGTTGGTTGTGCATGTGTAATGAAAAAAAAAACTGCAGCAACAAGACTCTGATTCAAGTTAGTCAACCCTGAGACAGCAGTGAAGCTGTCTCCTGGAGACTGAGCCATCAGAGTAGCTAAATTCTGGCAGAACCCCCCTCAGTGTTCAGAAAAAAAAAATTTTGGCCCCTCAGAGTACCCAAATTTGAAACGTCAGCCCTGGCGCCGGCGCCTGCGCCAGCGCGTGCGCCAGCAACCTGCGCTCGCGCGTGTGCTAGCGACCAGCGCCCTCGCGTGCGAAAGTGCCAGCGCGTGCGCCGGCGACCTGCGCCAGCCCGTGCGTCAGCGGCCAGCGCCCGCGCTGTCGAACATTATATGCTTGTTAGGCTATAGTGGGTTAGCCTATATGGGGTACACAATTCTAGGGTTTGCTATTTGTACTGATTTCCCTGTTAGTTCAATCATTCCTGTCCGTTCATTTCGACATGGTTTCAGAGCAGGTCCTTCGCTAGGACCGTTTTTTTTTTTAAGGGCCCACCGCTACCTACCTACCTACCTACCTACCTACCTACCTACCTAGGGCGCCTCGTGTTTTAACGGCCCCTAAAGCCCCGCGACCCGCGACCCGCCCCTTAGCGTCTCGCGCGCCGCCCCTTAAGGCCCCGTCGGCCCCGCGCTTGCCCCCTTACGGCCCCGCCGCGCCGCCCCTTAAGGCCCCGTTACGGCCCCGCGCTCGCCCCTTACGGCCCCGCGCACCGCCCCTTACGGCCCCGTCGGCCCCGCGCTCGCCCCTACCGGCCCCGCCGCTCGCCCCTTAGCGACCCCGTCGGCCCCGCGATCGCCCCTACAGGCCCGCTGCCGCCCCGTGCACCGCCAGCGCAACCCGCGCTGAGCCCGCGCAACGCCCGCGCAGCCCGCGCTAAGCCCGCGCAGCCTGCGCACCGCCTGCGCACCGCCCGCGCACTGCCCGTGCACTGCCCGCGCCCCACTTAGCGGCCCCGCGGCCCCTTCGAGCCCCGCTTAGACGCCCCCCGCGGCCCCGTACCGCCCCGCTTAGTGGTCCCGCGCAGCCGCGCAGCCTGAACCGAGCCGCACCGCCCGACCGAGCTGTGCCACCCGTACTGAGCAGCCCCGTCTACACTGCTCCTACTGCTACTGCTACTGCCGCTATGGCTACTCCTACTGTACTCGCTTTCGATGCTGAGGGCCGTCCAGTGAAGTTCGAAACCTGGCTCGATGACCTCCACCTCTTCCTACAGCTCACTGCCAAGGAGGATATTTCGCTGTACGATCATGCCCTCGGTCACGCTACTGCCCCTCCTACCACTGCAGACAGCACTCAGCGCTCACAGTGGCAGACTCGTGACGCCCACGCTCGCTTCGCTATTCGCAACTCCCTGCCGATAGATGAGCGCGAGCACTTTGGCCAGCACAAGACTGCTAAGGACCTGTACACTGCTGTAGTTGCTCGTTACTCCTCACCTGCCTCTGCCACACTAGGCCGTCTCACCCTCCCCTACCTGTTCCCCGACCTGGCCTCCTTTCAGACGGTTGCTGACCTCATCACCCACCTCAAGACTAGTGAGGCCCGCTTTCGCGCTGCTATGCCTGACGAGTTCCTTGCTAGCAACCCCCCCCCGCTCTGGATCACGCTCTACCACATCGTCACCCGCCTCCCTGACTCTCTGCGCGCAGTCAGGGACCACTTCCTCGCTCGCTCCCCCACTGAGCTCACCATTGCCCTCCTCGAGAAGGAACTGCTTGCAGCTGAGGCGAGCATTATCGCTGTAGGCACCTCTCGTGGCGACCCCCGCACCCCGTTCTTTGAGGGGTGTTCCCCTTCCCCCCTTCTCCCCTCTGTCGCCTCTGCTGCTGCTGTCGACCTCCTTGGTGCTGAGAAGGTCGGGACCGCGTCTGCTCCGAGCGGGCGCCGCAGGAGCAAGGGGGGCAAGGGTGGAGGTGGCGGCGGGGGAGGCGGGGGTGGTGGTGGGGGGGGTGGAGGTGGGACTGGAGAGGCTAGTGGCGGCAGTGGGGGTGGTGACAGCGGCGGCGGGGGTGGTGGCAGAGGCGGAGGTGGCAGCGGAGGCGGAGGTGGTCGTGGCGGCGGCAGGGGTGGAGGTGGCCGAGGCGGTGGCGGCGGCGGTGGTGGTCGTGGAGGCGCTGGCGGTGGCCAGAGCCAGCAGCACGCCCCGTCGCTCCAGGAGGCACGTGAGTGGTATTCGCAGCGGGGGGGGGCGGGTGGCTTTACCTGCACGTACGTCATCCGCACTGGTGACCGCGCTGGTCAGACGTGTGGGAAGCCGCACCCCACGCAGCGCTGTTTCTCGCGCCTTACCGACGCATGGCGCGCCCAGTTTCCTGCTGGCGCTGAGCTGCCCCGCTGGGCTGATCTGGAGAGGCAGGGGGTTGATATCTGGGCTCTAGACTTTGATGCTATTCTCACTGCCATGTATGCCATGTTTACTAGTGGAGAGGGTGCTCAGTACTTGCGTGTTCCGCCCGACCCGGGCATTCTGACCAGTCCGGCTGCCGCTCTAGGTGCTAGTGAGTCTGCTGCCCCAGGTCCTGGTGAGGCTGCTGCTCTAGGTGCTAGTGAGTCTGTGCCCCCTGGTACTGAGTCGACTGCAGCACTGCACACCTTCACACTGGACTCAGGTGCTTCTCGCTGTTTCTTTCGTGACCGCACTGTCCTTGAGCCACTCGCTCGGCCAGTTGCTGTCTCCCTCGCTGACCCCTCTGGGGGTCCGGTCATTGCGACCTCCTCCACTGTCCTTCCTTGTCCTGCGGTCCCGTCAGGCACACTGTCAGGTCTCTACCTCCCCTCGTTCTCTACGAACTTGGTGGCCGGTAGTGCGCTCCAGGACGGGGGTGTTCACCAGTTCACCCCTGCATACGAGCGCGTGACACACTGCACGTGTGCTAGGACGGGTCGCCACCTGGCTACCTTCACTCGGCAGCCGGGGTCGGACCTGTACACACTGACCACTGAGTCCCCTCAGGTAGCTGCGTCCGCGTCTGCGTCTGCGTCAGGTCAGCTGTCCGCCCCCTGCTCGTGTCGCTCTCTGGCGCATGAGACTGTCCTCTGGCACCACCGCCTTGGTCACCCGTCTGTGCAGCGCCTTCGGGCCATGCACAAACGGGACCTTGTTGCTGGTCTTCCCAGGGTTCTCCCTCCCCTCCCACCCTCGCCTGCTCCTCCATGTCTTCCCTGTGTCGAGGGGCGGCAGCGCGCCGCTCCTCACTCCTCCTCCTTTCCCCCGACGACTGCTCCCTTGCAGACGCTCCACATGGACGTGTGGGGCCCAGCCCGCGTCCGTGGTCAGGGTCAGGAGAGGTACTTCCTGATTGTTGTTGACGACTTCTCGCGCTACACCACGGTCTTCCCCTTGCGCACCAAGGGTGACGTCCCTGATGTCTTGATCCCTTGGATCCGCAGATCTCGTCTCCAGCTCAGTGAGCGTTTCCGCTCTGACTTCCCTGTCCTGCGTCTGCACTCTGACAGAGGTGGGAAGGGAGTTTTCCTCTGGCCTCTTGGAGGCCTTCTATCAGCAGGAGGGCATTGAGCAGTCGTTCACGCTTCCGGCCTCTCCACAGCAGAATGGGGTTGCTGAGCGCCGCATTGGCTTGGTCATGGAGGTCGCTCGTACCTCCTTGGTTCATGCGGCTGCCCCCCACTTTCTGTGGCCGTTTGCAGTCCGATACGCTGCGCATCAGCTCAACCTCTGGCCCCGTGTCTCCTTACCGGAGACTTCTCCGACACTGCATTGGACGGGAGAGGTTGGCGATGCGTCGCGTTTTCGGGTCTGGGGATCCCGAGCTTTTGTTCGCGATACGTCCGCGGACAAGCTCTCCCGTCGCGCTGTCCCCTGTGTCTTCCTTGGCTTTGTCCCGGACGCGCCTGGTTGGCAGTTCTACCACGTCACCTCGCGTCGTGTCCTGGCCTCTCAGGACGTCACTTTTGACGAGTCCGTCCCCTACTACTGCCTCTTCCCCTACCGCACTGCCCCACTCCCCCCCCCGCCTCTCTTCCTCGCTCCAGGTGCTGAGGTACCAGACCCCCTCCCCCCTCAGGGTGCCGCTCCCTCAGGTGTGTCCCAGGTAGACCCGGGTGAGCCTGTCGAGGTAGCTGTTGACTCTCGTCCTGCTGGGGGTGCGGAGCCTGGGGGTGCTGAGCCTGGGGGTGCTGCGTCTGGGGGTGCTGAGCCTGGGAGTGCTGAGTCTGGGGGTGCGGAGCCTGGGGGTGCGGAGCCTGGAGGTGCTGAGCCTGGGGGTGCTGAGCCTGGGGGTAGTGAGCCTGACGGTGCTGAGTCTGCGGGTGCGGAGCCTGGGGGTGCTGAGTCTGGGGGTACTACACCTGGAGGAGCCCTCTCCTCACAGCGGCTGCAGGAGAGGTACCTACAGTACTGCCGCC